TTGCATGTTATACAAGACTATTTACCGTCTTGATTATGCCTACCTTTCCACTCATTTCTTTTTTCCAGATGGAGTCTTGCTCTGTTGCCCAGGCTGGAGTGGAGTGGCACTCGGCTCACTGTAACCTCCATTTCTTGGGTTCAAGTGATTCTCCTGCCTCAGCCTCCTGAGTAGCTGGGATTACAGATGTGCACCACCATGCAAGGCTAATTTTCGTATTTTTTTTTTTTTTTTTTTTGAGAAGGAGTTTCGCTTTTGTTACCCAGGTTGGAGTGCAATGGCGCGATCTCAGCTCACCGCAACCTCCGCCTCCTGGGTTCGGACAATTCTCCTGCCTCAGCCTCCTGAGTAGCTGGGATTACAGGCACGCGCCACCATGCCCAGCTAATGTTTTTTGTATTTTTAGTAGAGACGGGGTTTCACCATGTTGACCAGGATGGTCTCGATCTCTTGACCTTATGATCCACCCGCCTCGGCCTCCCAAAGTGCTGGGATTACAGGCTTGAGCCACCGTGCCCGGCCTAATTTTTGTATTTTTAATAGAGATGGGGTTTTACCATGTTGGCCAGGCTGGTCTTGAACTCCTGACCTCAAGTAATCTGCCTGCTTTGGCCTTCCAAAGTGCTGAAATTATAGGCGTGAGTCACTGCACCTGGCCCCATTCTTGTTTCCTATCATTCTCTCATATGCACTATACACCATGCACACAAAAACAAACGGCCCAATATCACACATCTGTTAAGTACAGAGCAGAGATCCAAACCTAAGCAGTCTGGTTCCAGAGTCTTAAGTAGGAAAACACTCTGAAATTGTTTAAATGTTTACTTTCGGGCCGGGCGCGGTGGCTCAAGCCTGTAATCCCAGCACTTTGGGAGGCCGAGGCGGGTGGATCACGAGGTCAAGAGATCGAGACCATCCTGGTCAACATGGTGAAACCCCGTCTCTACTAAAAAAAATACAAAACATTAGCTGGGCATGGTGGCGCGTGCCTGTATTCTCAGCTACTCAGGAGGCTGAGGCAGGAAAATTGCCTGAACCCAGGAGGCGGAGGTTGCGGTGAGCCGAGATCGCGCCATTGCACTCCAGCCTGGGTAACAAGAGCGAAACTCCGTCTCAAAAAAAAAAAAAAAAATGTTTACTTTCTCTGTGTTACTCCTATATTCTAAATCTGACTTAATTGAAAATGCAATATATATTTTTAAAAGCCTCAGAGGCAAAAAACTCCCACAGCCTTTTTATAGCCAGAAGACCTTAGGGTTAAGAAATGAATGCCAGATATTAACAACGCTAGAAGAAAATATGAGTAATGCAAAACTTAGCACTATGCTACATTAAACCTTTCTTTTCACCTATGGATTCTGAAAGCACCTTAAGATTTAATGATTGCAATAGATTCTGACATTGTCTTAATAATTTATCAATTAAGCTTTGCGTAAGTTGAGTATTTGGTGTTTTTTAATTACTGTATGTATTTATAGAAGAGGCTATCTAAAGCACAATATAACCTACCATGTGTCCTCTGAAAAAATAAAATACATTATTCAAATATTAGGTAATATAATTTACTTTTTTATAGTCCAATCTTTATTTAAGAATCTGATCTGTCAACTTGGTGTTTTCCACCAACTGGGGAGCTGACACATTCACAGGCTTCACAATCTTTTGTGTAGATGCTGCCTTTATGGGTGCCTTAGAAGCAACCATTGTGGTCTTTTTAGATGCTAACTTTGCCTTTTTTGCTTCCTTAGCAGCCCTGCTAGCTTGTTCTCATTAAGCCTTTTTAACTTCAGGTTTATCATTCTCCTTGGCCATTATATTAGCAAGAGATGCACCAGTTACGGCCCTCTGGAATTTGACTGCTCAGCAGGTTCTTTTCTTTTGAATTTCTTCAAAGTGTCCCTTTTTTGTGCTTTTTTCCATAGAGGACAATCCAGTTTCTCTGCTGAGGATTCCTCTTAGCAAGGAATGCTGTCAGCCAGGCACTGTGACTCACGCCTGTAATCCCAGCACTCTGGGAGGCCCAGGTGGGTGGATCACCTGAGGTCAGGAGTTCAAGAACAGCCTGGCCAACATCATGAAACGCTGTCTCTACTAAAAATACAAAAAATTAGCTGGGCGTGGTGACGGACACCTGTAATCCCAGCTACTCGGGAGACTGAGGCAGAAGTATCACTTGAACCTCAGGAGGCGGAGGCAGAGGCTGCAGTGAGCTGAGATTGTACCACTGCACTCCAGCCTGGTCAACAAGAACAAAACTCTGCCTCCAAAAAAAACACAAAAAACAAAAAACATCAGTTCTTTCAAGGTAGTAAGCTTCAATGCAAAATAGAGCCCACAGCCTCTGGAATGCTGATTAACTCTGAACAGTAATACAATCTCATTCCTCATCCAAAGAATGTGAGATCCAAGTTCCAGTTTAGCCCATGAGGGCAACCAGTCAACACATCCTTACATATTCTACTACAGTAAGTTTTAAACCATATTTTCAAATAAAATCTTA